CGTCAATGCCGCCGCCCGAAGCTCGAACTCCCTGAGTGTGATCCTCTCTTGAGCTGCCACCTCCCAATGGGCGTATCCTTTTAGACAACGAGTCACCTGTGTCGCCAACTCTCCTCGCGCCCTGCAGCTGCTCTCCACCTCTGCCAGCTGCATTTCTAATTCCGCACGTTGTGCCCTCAAATCCGAGCACTCGGATTGCAAGTTGCGCAACAACTTCTCATCCTCCTTGCGGGCTCTTTGACTTTCTTCTAAGGCGCGCGTCTGGCGCGTAAGCTCGGCTGCTAGGACTTGGTTTTGTTTCCGCTCTTCCTGCAATTCCGACTCGATCTTTGCCCGCATAAGCTCGGCATCCGCCTGACTTTTCGTCGCCGCATCCTCCCTCTGCTGCTGCAAGGCTTGGTATAGCTTCTGTGTGACCGCCAGGTGTTGTCGGAGGGCGGTGTTCCTATCCACATATATTTGGCAACTAGAGGCCCACCTTGCCACCTTGCTCCTCGTCCTTCGCCTAATAGTCTCCACATAAGACTGCGGTTTTAAAGCACTTGCGTATTTGGATGTCTTGCGATCCAGATATCGCAGGAGTGGAACTATCTGTTCGCACAGCACCCCTGTTGGCGTTTTCTGCACCGAATCCGCTTCCTACTCTTCCGAGCTCGTCTCATCCTCAGTCTCGAGGATTTCAGTCGCCACCGAATCCCTTGGCGACTCCCTGGAACTGTGGCGCGTAGCAGCTTCCGCTGCGACTGCTGCTCCACTGCCTGCTAAAATATCCAGGGCAGTGGGAGATCCCACGGCTTGAGCCCCTGTTCCGGCTCGATCTTCGGTTTCTGAAGGGGTCGACGCCATAGTGACTTTTGTCACTCTTGCACCGCCCGCTTCTGCTGCCTGTCCTTCCGGCGCAATCTGCGCGGAAGGTGTCCTCGCTAATGGTGCGTCCGCCGAAGGCGTCCGCACACTGGTCGTTGGCCCCATCCGTCTCGCAGTCGGCGAATCCGGCCGACTCTCTGTTGTCCGACTCGCAGTCGGCCGACCAGCAGTTGTCCGACTGGGAGTCGGATACACCCTGCGCGTCTTGAGTCCACTTGGCCTGCTTGCTGGTGGCGTTTTCCCAGAAGTGCCTTCCGCCGAAGACGACCCTCTGAGGATTGTTGGCTCGTCAGCCAAACTCTCTTCTGCTTCCGGCCTGCTGTCCGGTTCAACGCGCCGTTCAGTTGGCCTTCCTTCCGCTTGTCGGCCTTCAGTCATCCGACTCGCAGTCGGCCGACTGTCAGTCCGTCCATCTCCTCCCGAAGGCCGTGGTGCCTTCTGTGCAGAGGTATCTGCCGTCTTCCCTAGAATCTGAGCGATTATCTCCTCCTGTGTGAGATTCCGCCGGGTCGGAGTTCGCCCGGTCTCCTCAGTACCAGTTGGCATTTTGCGTGCCCTCTGTTTTGGTCGACTGTGAGGCTCGGGGGTGGGCCGACCACGAGTCGGCGCAGCTGGCACTTCCGGCTGCCTGTCCTCAGGTCTTTCATCCCACTTCCGCTTTCGCGGAATGCGCTCACTTCGACGTTCTTCTGCTGCTCTTGCTGGAGCCGGAGCCGGAGGCGTACTGGCAGGTTCCTCGTCCGGATCCGTGTCTACTTCGGCCTCCCTCGAATATCTACCTGGATAGTTCCGGGTCAGCTGCGGAAACCGTGTTTTCTCAGCATTTGTCAAACATCCCATCGCCCGATAAAACACGATTAAGTAAGGCGATAGATGATTGAGGGTTCCTCCCTTCTCTTCTTGCGCATGTTGGCGCGTCACCTTCCACAAGAGCCGTGCCCAATGCACTGGAGCTCCTGACAACACTAGCTCCACAAACTCTACCTGCCAACCATGCATGTAAGCGGTCTTGGTCGGCTGCAATATCTGCAGCAATGCAGTCGCGACATTTCTCCGCAATCGATCCTTGTAATCCCGTGTCCGGAAACCGTTCTTGGGATGCCTGGCAACTTTGAAGAGCTCATTGTAAGAGACTTCTTCCTCCTGGGACACCTTCACGCTATCGGCCTCGAAGAGGAGATCCCCTTCCTCGCCGGCACACCTGCCCAACACCTGCGCCCAGTTGCAAATGTCCCATCTCTCTGGGTGTGGGCGGAATCCGCGAGAGGGCTGGTGTCTCTCCTGCAGATACTCGCGCACCATCTCCGGACATGTCCAGTTCCACCCCCATAGGAGAAAATCGAGCTTCAGCCTCAGCAGCACATCTTGAAATGCGCGTAGACCGATCTGCGGCACCCTGAGTGGAGACACTCGCAGCTGGGAAACCTTCGACATTGCGTTGCCTGCACACACAAACGTTCTCCCTTTCGCTCGCTCTCTCACAATCGCCACTGCGCGTCGGCCGCTCAAGCACTGACTGCTCACTCTCTCTGCGCTCAAGCTCAAGATCGCTACTCGCAATTCTTTCAAGGTCCGCCAAGATCCTTGCGCAACTCGTCTCCGCACTCTCTACTCTCACTGCAGGTCGCTCCGCCCTTGCGCGTAATCTTGGAAACTGGAAATCGCAAAGTCAAGAATGAGAGAATGAGACTGGAGCGCAGTCTTTTCTTCTCCGATTTCAAGAACGTCCAACGTTCTTACTGGTTACAACGTACGCAGCCGGCTATACGGCTTAACGGTTCGCCCTTTGCATGCGCGAATTCACGTCTCCGCACTGCGCGCATTTGCATGCGTAAACGTTGAATTCTCCCGCCGCCGCCACCTTCCGGACTCGAGTCCGCTGCAGGGTATACGTCGGCCCTGTTGTCTTTTCCTAACCCGTCCCTCACCGGAGGCGTGTCGCCGCTGGTGCGTTCATTATCCGTCGGCGCCTTGCTGGAGGCGCACATCTAGTCGGAGCGAATTACGCCGGCGCGCAGTCGTACCGCTTATTTTGTCCTTTATGCCTCGTCCGTTGCTGCCGGCGCATATCCGCCAGCGCAACTCATGCCAGCGCATCCGGCCGTCAGCGCCACGTCGGAGGCGTACATCCGACCGGCGCTTTCCTTCCATGAACAGCCGCCAAAGGCGCTTCCGACTCTGAGTTGGGTTTCCTCCTATGAGCGCGTGATTCCGCCGAAGGCGCATCGCCGAGGGCGTACGGGAATCCTTTCCGGCTGTGAACCCTAGCGCGAACGGCGCATGTCCGGCTACGAGTTTTCCGACGCTCATAACTTCTCCGTCCCTGATCCATCTCCGACGCTCTTGGGCTCGTTAGAACGAGCGTCCCGAGCTCTTTCTAATGCAACTTCAACCAACTGGATCTACCGTGTATCCCGATTGTTATGACGGTTTTCCCTTTCCGCGCTAGCGGCGCTTCGCCGAAGGCGCACTCATGGTCGGACGCCTTTAGAGGTCCGGGCCCTTCTCCTGACGTCTTTAGCAAAACCTCCTCCTGAGGTGTCTGCGCCGGAAGCGTAGCTTCCTTATACGCTGGAGGCGCGTGAGTAGAGACACCTCAGAAAAGGAGCTTTTGCCGAAGGCGCCGGAGACATTGGCGTTGGTACATCCGACTACGTGATTCTTTGTGTCCTCGTGACGATCTCATCAATCCACTCTATTTAACGTACCCTTTTCTAACTACAAACACTGCTTCGGTACTAGTTTTCTAAAATTGTTTAAATTCTGCAAAAAAAACAAAAAGTGTGTTACCACACTGTGCTTCGCCTCCTGCGCGACGGACTGCCGCGCTCTAACTCCATACCCTGCCAGTCCTCAGCTCAACTGCGCAGTCCCAATCGCCGCAACACCGCGGAAACCTCCGTCTCAAGGGTGGACATGGTGTCCCGCGCCTTCGATAGAATAGAGTCCAGCTTCTTCGCTACTCGCCGCCGACTCCGACTGTCACCCGTCAACAACCCGGCTGCACGAAGCTCTAACTCACGCAGTGTGAGTCTCTCCTGCGCCACCACTTCCAACATCGGAAGTGCAGATCAAGAACTCATTTTCTCTGCGTGTTTGTGTCCTTAGTTCTGTTAGCACGCAAGAGGAGCTACACCTTAGCGATCCGCATCGTGTAGCTGAAGGCCTTCGGCCGAATGTTCAGAGCTAGTACATTGATTAGAGACTTGAGTAGTTCGGATCTACACCTGCGGGTGATTGCCGATGCTCAGAGCCAGTGACGAGTTAGATACTTGAACATTTTCCTCCTTACACCTTTGAGTGATTGTTTCTGATTGTACTCCTTCGGGATTTTTTCCCTGAATGCCAAAGTGAAGTTTTGCTACTTCGTGTAAGCCTTGGTTGTAAATTCAGGTTACGCTGCAGCAGGTGCCTTTAGGGTAACCCCTGTAGTATTTCTGGGAATGACAAGTGCCTAAGAATCCAAACTCTTCAATAGACTGTTATGGTGTGTTACTGGAATGTTTCTCGGTGAGTCCTTCCGTGCGGACCTGTGTTCTCTGCGCGTTTTGTGAGTTGAGAGTGTTGTTCACCGCGTATGAGTGACTTCGATCCGAAGTAGGCAGTCCAAACCGGGTTCCCTACGCTAGCAGAAATCTAGTGGAAGGGTTGTAAAAGCCGGAGTTGGGAGTCACTACCCGCAACTTCGCTGAGTGTACTCTTGAGAGACCTTTCCCCTGAAATCTTGAGTAGAGGTCCTAACGGATCTCTGGGTTGTGTTTCTGTAGTTTCAGGTGTGTGTGTGTGTTACGCTGCACTGTGCGACCTCCGAGTGCGCTCCGAGTGACACACGGTTGACACAATTCATTCAACGTACCAATAAGGTTGCTCACACTAACATCTACTCCTTCGCAGTTTGTATTTTTCCTCAATAAAAGCAAAGATTAGCTCATGATACCCTCTTTTAGATGTATGGGAGCCAAAATAGGTTCAAGAAACCAGACGAATTTATTGTGGACGTCTATCGATAACTAGATCACTTTCGACAAAATTTCAAATTGTGGCTTTCAAGCAAGAGGCTATTCTAGTTGGGTGAGATTCTTCTTGGCCTACAGATCTAAATTGCGTTTGGCTTCTGTGATTGGATACAGGAAATGAGTTTTCGTGATGATCTCCAGACGGTGCCGAAGATCGCAATGAATATTCGTTCTGTCCTCGTCAAAACAGTTCAAGAACTCTTAGTCCGCCTTCCATTAGTGGGTCTTCACGGCATGGGCGGTGTAGGGAAAACAACTCTTGCCAAGTTGTTGTTCAATGTGTTGTGTGCTGAATTTGAATATACTTGTTTCGTTCCGGGATTTATGCTCAAAGGAGATTACAAGGAGATGGAAGGCCGTGTGTATTCGTCGATGCATCGATATGGCAAAATGGTTACACAAAGAAGGCAAGAGTTGGAACCAGGAGATTTGAAAGGGAATAGACTTCTTCTCGTTCTAGATAACATGGAAAATGAACACCATGTTGAACTTCTCAAAGAAATAGTTTTGATGAACGCTTGCGCAAATAGTCGTTACATTGTTACCTCTCGAAGCTTGGAAGTTTTGGATAGTTGCATTGCGATCTTTGGAAGAAGGGATGTTAATGCCTTCTTCCAAAGGGATGTTGATGCCTGCGTGTTTGACGTGGGTTTTTTGAATCACGACAACTCCAACCAGTTATTTAGAAGCCACGCATTTCCTTATCCTGACGAACCGAGTCCATCAATGACGGAATGGATAGACAAGATCGTCGAGAAATGTGAAGGACTACCATTAACCCTGGAGGTGATGGGCAGTTATCTGAAGAGGGATCCACGTGAAAAAGTATGGAGTGAAAAAAGATGGAGTCAGACTCTTGAGGCTCTCGATGCAGCAGAAAACATAGTCAATTTCAATGAAAGGTTGTGGGCGAAATTGCAAGTGTCCTACAACAGCTTGAGCCCTGAGGAGCAGGAAATATTTCTTGATGCTGCGACTTTCTTCAACAATTCCCACTGGATGCTGTTTGAAGCTAAGGCTTGCTGGCGTGTGCTCTATGGCTTCGAAGATGTGCGATGGAAGACTTTGGTAGATTTGTGTATCGTCTACAATGTAGATGAAACAGACAGAATACTAATGCACGAGCAAATGAGATCTCTGGGAATGAAATTGGCTTCGGCATGGGGACATAATCGCATATGTAGGACTTGGACTAAGAAAAATGTCCCCTCGACGTCATCCATGAAATTGGCTTCGGCATGGAGATTTCATCGCTTATTCAATTGGACTAAAGAAAATGAACCTTCAACGTCATTCAGCCCTGGTATGGAAATTGAGGTATGAGATTATTATCAAAAGCTCTGACTCTCAAGGTTTCGTCTTCTCTCTAGAGTACATGGACACGTAAGATATCGGTTGTTGATGTATACTATTGAATTTCACAACACTTGAATCACGTCATTGTTATGTCGGTTTTAGTATTTTGCTGAACTTCTCTTGAATTCTTGTAAACTATCGTTTCAAAGATTCAATGCGCTTCCTGTATGTCGGTTTTAGTATTTTGTTGAACTTTTCTATTGACTTCTTGTAAACTACCGTTTCAAAGATTCACTGCGTTTCCTGTCTGTCATTGGACTGCTTTCTTGAACTCAAAAAACTTTTTGAGTAGATCCTCAGCCTTCTTGCAAAAGTGTCTTTCAAAGCACTTCACTTTCACTCCGTGAGCTGTTTTTTGAAATCGGCGATATATTTTTATAAAGTCACAGCCTACTTCAGAAATGTGAATCGAAGCACCTTCCTAGCAATCAACGTACTGGTTTTGCGAGTTAAACAAACTCTTTTCAGTCTTCAAACGACTTTTCATAATTTCATTGACAGCACACTTTCTCTTTATCTTAATCTTGAGAGATTCTTCAAGTACCGCAGTCGCCATGCATCGTTATTGGGTTTGCCCATCCTGACCCTATCTAGACATAGCAGCGTGTTGTTGTCTAGCATCCTAGCAAGCCTACAAACAAGTTGTCATATTTGTGGTTTCTCTTAAAGCCTTTGATCCCCGACGGATGTACTCTTCACTCAATTTGGGCTTTCCTATAAAGGATGTCAATGATTTTCAACATGAAGACTCATGTACCTGATCATATCAAATGCTACAAGTTTTAGATCATGGACTATAAATGTGGCTTGGGATGTGAACTAGGCCCTGGGTGTTTTTGTGCAGGAGGTCATAGCGCTACAACTTGAAGATTCGATGGCCCTCAACTCGAGAGCTATTGGCCAGATGAAGAAGCTGCGATATTTGGAATCCGAGAAGATGTTGATGTTGGATGAAGTATTTGGCAACCTTTCAAAGAAAGTGGTACTTCTTCGAGTGCATGGAGAAGTAAATAGTCTTCACAACCTGGTCGACCGAGGTCGTGAATGTTTGGCTGTTCTGGTTTTGGAGGCACCGGTCAGATGTTTGCCAACAACCTTCAGCGAGTTGCAAAACCTTGAAATCATGAAATTCTTCGGTTGTCTCTTCGAAGGTCTTCCCGAAACGTTTGGACAACTTCCCAGGCTTCGGCTTCTGACACTTTCAAATTGCAGTAGACTTCGTTCACTCCCCGAAGCTTTCGGAAGGCTCTCCCGTCTGGAGAAGTTGATCATGGTGGAACTGCACAATTTTCGAAGGTTGCCTGAGGGTTTCGGAAATCTGCCCCAGCTACAACGCCTGGTACTATGTGGATTGAGTAAAATTCGTTCACTCCCCGAATCTTTCGTACGGCTCTCCTGTCTGGAGGATTTGATCATGATGTCACTAGACAATCTTCAAAGGTTGCCTGAGGGTTTCGGAAATCTGTCCCAGCTAAATGTACTGGTAATAGAAGATGCGCCTTATATCTCAGAACTGCCTGAGAGTTTCAGCCGTCTCACTCGATTGCAAAACCTGCATCTCAATTATATGCCTGGCCTCCAAGCCTTGCCTGATACTTTTGGGGAGCTTTCGCAGCTGTCCCATTTGTCAATGCTGCGTTGCAATATTAAACAAAAATTGCCGCATTCGTTTGGGCAACTGCCCATGCTGACCCTCGTGGACATCCGCGGCTGTTCTAGCCTTGTCTTTTCAGAATTCTGCGCTGTTTGTCCAAGAATTCCAAAACTAAGATATTTGTTGAGCTCGATAGGAGGTTCACACGGTACATTTAGTTACTGTCCGAAAGTGGCTCATCATGATGATCAATCAGTATCTATCAGCGAGTTGCGATCAATTTTTGGACTCGATCCGGATGTGCCTCTTGAGGATGATGAAATAAGGGAGTTGGAGAAGAAGTATTTAGCTGGTGAATTCACCCCTACCTTTCGTTTTCCTGGTGAATTAAGAGGTTATTTCGATTACACATTGGCAGAAGTAGACTTCGGACAGATGCTCAGGGACATCGGTATTTGAATACATCGGTATAATGATCAAACCCTAGACGTTGATGTGTTTTATTTTGTTTTCTATCGATTTTATTATTATTGATTTTATAGGTTTAGATATTATAATATTGTATTATCATTTAATTTGTAAAAATTATATATATAAGAAGCAAGAATTGCCGAATTCGTTTGGGCAACTCACCATCTTGAACATCCACTGTTGCAAAGGAAAGTTATCAATTATTATAAACGTACAATCAAGTATTTAACAAAAAGAACCATCAAAAATATATGAAGGAATCCAGCTTCGCTTGTTCAACCTTATAATGATATTTTACTAAAATTTGGTACTGTAGATTTTTTGCTATCGATTCAGATAACTCTACATCTAAATTGTGCTCAGAGTTTTAATTTTGGCTTAAAAAATTTATTTTTTGATCTCACAAAATTCAGATTTCACATACATAACATAGTACGTCCGAACCATGAAATCCATTAATAAATTAAGTTATGTCGCGAAGCTTCATATATAGATATGATCAAAACATAAACAAACTCCATGACTGTGGGTTTGTATCACAAGAGCATAAAATAAAATCTTATTTCTTTTCTCAAGTGAAAACTTTGAAACACCAACTCTTATAGCTTCTACTTTCTCCGTTAAAATAAAATGTCAGGTTGCTTCAATTCGAGTAACAAGATTTTCATTGTTGTCAATATACTTTGCCAAATTTCAACATAGCTTCCATATTCAAAAATCATCGCTTCAATGCAACATATAAGTGATTTTAAATAAGAATGAAACTCAATCGTATCAAGATTTGGATCTTTCATATTTTTAAATGTCAATCAACTCCCTATACACTTTTGCTTTATGGTCACATTGATCAAAACTTGCCATATACCCATTCTAATACCATGAATGTAGACCCTACCGGTAATACGACTGAGAAAGTCTCTTAATGCACAAACGGCTGTATGTTATATCTTTTGTTGGAGAAGCACATCTACGTAATTTGGGATGGTGTTACGTAAGTAATGACAAAGAGATGTGAAGTAGAATGGAGCACTTTTATTCCTATGAAAATTGACTGAGATTAATGCTCTCAACTTAAATGAAGATTCGTCGCCAATGGGCGACAAACCATATGTACACGTGATCCTGAAGTTGCAAAAGTGCAACGCACTCGTCTTATTCCATGCCTATTATCTTGGACAGAAAGCACGTGAGCTGCATCAGACGGTCGCAATGAGAGACGATCTCGACGTTGTTTTCTAAGGATTTCAGAAGTTGCATGGCTCGATGACTGCACAATTCTTCCTCCAGCCGTAAGGATCGCTCGCTGGAATGTTGCCCATTTTGATCATGGCCATTCCAAACTCGAACAGGAAGGAGTAGGGGTCCTGCACAGCTTTGATGGCGTATTCCACTCCCAAGGGATCGCTCATCAGCGCCACGTCCGAGTCCATCAGGCCCTTGCGGGTCAGAAGGTCCAAGTAGTAAACGGCGTCGAATGTGGCGTTCGTGGAATCGGCCCCTTTGAAGAGGAGAGGGTTGTCGCGAGGGCACTGGGCCTTGAGAGACTCGGCGAATTCCGGGTCCATCGATGGGTCTGTGATATTCTGACCTTGAAAGTCCCACAGGCGCTCGAAGAATGCTCCGCAGTGGAGTTGTCCGATAGAGTGCCCGCCTGCATGAGGACACACACAAGTCTGCGTTACAAGCCTTGAGGAATCTTGCAGATGGAGGTCCTTCCCGATTTCGCAAGGCGAATGATCACCTCGAGGCTTTGAGATACAGCAAAACTTCTCTCAAATCGTCCATGGCAACACATGCGTCCCATGCGAACAAAGAACTGGACATGTCACCGTGCTCTAAAATTGGAAGATTCTCAAGGAACTGCAGTCACCCACCTGAAAGGACGATCATGTCCTTGGTGTCTAGTCCAACTTTGGCGAAAGTCGCAACTAGCTGGGAGAAGTTGTATGTTCGGAATGGTAGACTGGTGTTGACCTCGTCTGCAACTGAAGATCGTCCATCGATTCGGCCCAGAAACACTGGCCAGCTCAAGCCTCCGAGCTGCGCAATACAACCAGATGTTTACTTTCATAGATCAGTCTGCCCGGGCCGACAATATATGATCTGACTACTTTATACTCAATACTCCCACTGAACCACGCGAAGTAACTTGTAAGTAGACCACTGAAGTCTGTACCTTAACAGTGGCATCCCTCGCCACCATGGCCAAAATGTCGGCACACGACACGACACCCGGGCATGCGCACTCGAGCTCCATCTTTAAATCGTCAATATGCTCGAATCCTCGAAGGGAGCCGTTATTTATGAGCGCTTCTTTCTCAGCGAGTGTAGTGTTGGTCGAATTCAGAAGCACCGATCCATCGCAGCCCTGCACGCGCAGTCAAAGTCATGAAGCCATTGCCAGAGGGATCCTGAAGCCAAAACAGGCTCCTGCTACGTACATCTGGTGGCCACAGTAATTTGACAGCTGCATTTTGAAAGTGAGCTTACCCGAACGAAACAATCATGGAAATGAAGGCGCATCAGACCTGCAGCCATTCCTTTATCGGCATCAACGATTTCATCGACCTTTTGCTTTACTATTGTGGCAGCTTGTGGGCAAGTGGAGTCATAGAAGTCCGTGGTCAGCTGCCCTTGTGATAACACTGCTACCAGAAGAATTGAAGAAGTCCAAAGGAGCCATTGGGCACTACTTGCGGCCATTTTTCCGGATCACTTGTTTTGATTTCCGATAAGTAAAAGTTGCAATATGTTGTACCAGCCAAAGGTAGCTAAATCGTCACAGACGATCACAGCTAGATCCCTGCACAGAGCCATTGACCAATATGTGTGAACAAAATGCATTGACAGTTCACAGTGCATTACTTAAAAAGGAGATTCAATATAGATTCGAAGGGAGGAACGAATCTCTTATGAAAAAGTACAACTGCTTTCATTTATTTTTGAAAAGGCGACCTCCACTGAGAAATCAACCCCCGGTAAGGAAATATCATCATATCTAAGCTTACTTGTAGCAGTCGAGTGAAGCTCTCAGTGGAACTCTTGCAGCGTCTGAACCTGACTGCTTGCATTCTCTTCTTATACTCCAGCTTCTCCCACACTAAAGAGGGCTTCACTTTAATACAGTAATGACGCTCAGACGTTCTGGACCTTGACCATATCAGATCATGACGATGGAATTAGTCAAGCGGGACATGCACGAATCTAGCCTAAGGTTACGATAATCATCACTATGTCCAGAATTCTGGAACAAGTTCAAAAAAATATCCTTGACCTCACATGTATCTCATACAGTCTAAGCCTAAGCGTCGTACGTCTCACGTTATTGTTGAAGCATTTACTGAATGCAAACGAATCCTTGTCCCCAACTGGACAAGAAAATGCTTAGTAATATTCTTACAGGAGATCTGGCATTGATTTTAATATTTTGCAACAGAATAGTACATGCTTCAGTTTAAGTGATCTGCAACTCTCTCGAACTAGACTCCAGAATGGCTAATATTGATTAACTGCCAGATCGGCATATTCACCGCTTCGTTGTTAGAGTTCATAAGGAGATAAGTCAGTTGTAAATTCTGCCTTGATGCTGGCGTAGTTGCACTTGGTATTTGAAGGATACTTGAGATTTAACCTGAACATTAAGAAATCTCTGGCTGTTCCCATATACCAATCGCAGTTAAGATGTATGTATTATATTACACGTTAGCTATTGCTACCACACTCACCATCCATCTATTGTAAAAATCTCCAACGAAGTCAAATAATATGCTACGAAGCCTAAGAAATCATGACAAGACTGATTGGAGGGTAAGGAAGACCATTACATTTTGTATAATATCCCTTAATTCGGACAGCAATTCTAGCATTACAACGTGTTAAAACATGTAATATTGGGCTGATGATACTTCGTCTCATTTCCAATATGATCTGTATACAGTAGAATACACAGATGCCGTTGAGAACGAGATGATACATGTAACCTCCTCGGTTTAGATATGCTTTAGCTTTTTCTGGCTTATTCTTTGCAACTATGTTATAACTGAGCTTTTCATTTCATGCGCAGGTGACCTAGGATATCATCAGCTGGAACCAGACATCATCTTGAAATCTTCTCAGGCTAAAACTGCGATAATTTACACCAGGGTCATCATTAACAAATTCGTTGGATAAGCCATTAGATTCTAACACGTTAATCATCTTTACTTAGCGAATGTTGATCACGACAGTCATAAACAAAATAATTAGGAAATCAATCAGTTTGACTATTGATTCCCTAATTATTACCCTAAATATTACCAGTATGTTCATATGCAAATGCATGGTCATACAATATGTGGCTAGAAGCCACCTGTGGTGAAGACTGCAATTCTAGCAAATTAACTCCCTTGCAGCATATGGAATGTATGACACTACTTAATCGACACCATTCCGTAAGAAAAAGACATTTACCACTCTACTTCCCCAGCTTTCAATTTAGCCGCTGCTTTAGTATAAATGTCGTGCCAGTTTCTATACTGCTGCCTTCCTGCGCTTCACATCTAGACAAGGAGCAATAGCTTTAATTCACATCCTGCCTCACGTCATTGTTGCAACGTGAACAAGCAGATGCTTGGACTTTCACACTCACGTTAAATCCATACGCTCGTTCTTGTCAATCTGTCAACTGACATACTTATGGCTGAATAGGGTGCAAAACTTTCCATAGCAGTGACTGATGCTGAGTGGAATGCGGAAGACCCGGTCACCATGATGGAATCTTCAAAATCATGCTTCACACAGAGTAAGGGGAAGTCATGAGCTTGGAGACGTCCCCTTAATTATTAGTGATTGCATCCGGTTGAGTTATTGATATTTTGCTTGACTCGGGAAAAATAGTTAAAAGCAGAATTCCGTCCAGGTCTTTTCAAGGATAATTGACCAAAATTGAAAATGTAGATCAAAAGTGCGAATCAAATCATTCATCGATTGACATAAAGCTTCTGGTGGTCTTTACGATACAAAATACAAAATACTAAAGATAAACTAAATGCTCAATACTGAAGTTTTATTGTCAACATTTCTTGACCATATCATCAGGCAGGAACAACGTGTACCTATTATAGAGTGGAACTCACTGAGGTGACAGCTGCCATGGTCTGATTCACCTCGTTGGATCTACAACTCCCCCACATCTTTATTGGATCTTGATAGGCATGACGATGCTGACAGTAGTGAATGCATGACATCTTCTTTAGGGAGCCACTGAATTCTTTACTGCAATTTGTCCTCAACAGCGATCTATCATAGCTAGGTATTCAGAGCTCTGAACTCTCGTATAACGTTCTCCACTGAACATTGCGATCTTCCTCACTTAGTATGAAATAAACCAGCTGGGTATTGCACTTATTGGTGTCTATGTTTAAGAATGCTTTCACATTCAATGCTTATATGCTTCGATAAGAGTAACACCACGAGAGAGCTTTACCAATTTGCAATCAAGAAAACCACATGAAGTCAACAACACCTTGTAGGCCTCGAAAGATCTCTCCCGACCTTTCAGAAAGACAGAGAGCATGATCAAGTCTAGGGTGTTCAAAAATTGGACATCATCATCTGTGCTGTCATCGTCGAGCACGTGCTCGCCGATGACGACTTTGCCCCTTCTTTCGGGTAAAGCTTCATAGCAACTCTTCAAGATCATTAAGCACTCTTCATCGCCATTGTTGTGGAGTACCATCTACATGATTTTGGTTGCAGTCAGTACTCAAATTAAGCATTTATTGAAAGTTCCTACTATCTCGAACCGAAAATCTATTCAATCATGACACTCACAGAACACCAAATGAACTTATTCAGATCTCGAGGATCTCCAGGCGACCTAGTGGTTATTCGATTATGCATAATCTTTTCAAAATCAGGTATGAATGGGGGATTTGCTAACCTTCAAAAATATGGTATCACCAGAAGGTATACTCTGAAAGAAATTACCACCTACGTGGTCTACTCCTGACCAGACAAGCCACGAGCAGAAAAACGTGTTAGGGGATTCTGACAGCATAGATGACATATTACAAAAGGAAAACACTGAAGTCCAGCAAAAGTGGAAGATATATATTGGAAGCTTTATCTCCACTACAAACCTGGTATAGGAGGGGCATTCTTAATCACATCTGGCAGGTCAAAGTTGATGCCATGGATATGTGGGTAAGCTGCAACCAGGTGATTGATAGATTCACCCTCACCGCCCCCCACGTCCACCAACGTCTTCGTATTCTTAAACCCATCGTACTCATGTACAATAACATTCATCCAATATTTTGAGTAGCAGGTCATGGCATCTTGGAATACAGAGCTGATTTCCGGCCTTTCTGCATGTAATTCGTAGAATGTTTTTCCGAACGCCATCTCCATCGGCGATCGATCTTCCAACAGACTCTCATGCAGATGCTGGAATCCGACTGAGAAGAATTGATTTGAATGCAGCAAAGCTATTGGCCGCAACGTGAACTGAACATCGTCCTTGACGAGGAGCCTCGACACAGGAGTCAGCCCGTACGCAGCTTCATGAGACTTTCCATCTGCGGTAGAAACTAGTGATCTGCTGTAGATTCCCGGGACAATCAGGATATCCATTATCCTCTTCAGATAACCAGCAGCGGCAGCTGGATTCTTGCAAGGAAGCCTTTGGACGATGTTCTCAGCTGTCATTGGCTCCTTCGACATGGCCAAGATGTCAGGAATCCCCAAGAGCATGGTTGCTCTGAGGGCAAAGGATGGAACGTAGTTAAAAGCTGAGAAAATCATTCTGATCTCGTCATTCTCCATGTTTAGTAATTTGCCATCATTCTTTGGATCCAGCTCCATCTGGATCACAAACTCAACTTACAATACGCGCTTCTATGCTTGCCTCACGCGAAAACAAGGCGATATTTGAGATCGGTCTTCTCAGGCAACGCAGCTCATTGCCTAATGCTGCAATTCCTGCACACTCGGTCGACACTCAGAATATGGTCTTTCTATCTCAGAGAGTGAGCTTGCAGATCTTTCTGTCTGCGGAATGCGCTTCCTTCAGACTCACACCATGCAGTCAACATTATATATAAGCTCCAGCCACAATCATGTTGCGGTTTCTGAACAGCAGCAAGGACTGCAGCGTGCTTACAGTCTTAAGATTGCGCCAATCGAGGTCAATCAATGATTCTTGTGTACGATCAATCAAAACGCAGTGGACCACTGGACTTTGAAGGAAACTATATCGAAGTAATATTTCTGTGATTGACCAGATACAGTATTACAGTGGGATGACGTCTTCACTGTACCGGAGAGCTACTCAACATTACTCTGCTTGAAATTAATATTATCTTTCATAGTGTTATCTGTCAATGGATATTATTACCTGGATTAAAATATTTCCTCACATTTGATACAGTAAGTCGTGCATTCTTATGAGAATACGCATTCTTTTAATAATGGTAGATAATGTTACACCAGAACAATTTTTATCACGTTGACTGTCTTATCACAATTATGAAAACAATGAAGCCTGAGCGAACATGAGCTAAGATATCTTTTCATTTACAGAGACTCTCTATTTATGATTCTAACATTAATGAATATTATTGTGAAGTTAGAGATTAGAGTGGTTATTGAGGTTAGAGTGGGTCTATACCCACTCAAAAATCTAGTTTTTCTTTTATCAAAAGAAATCTCCAATCTTGACTTCAGTATAAGAATATAATATTGCGAAACCAAATATATATTTAACAGTAAGACTATATCTCTTCACACTATTCAACATAGAGTTTCTAAAAAAACATATAGTTTATTTTAGTTCTTTCCAAGCAGCCCTCATTTGATTTAATCTTTGAGAACACTTTTATTATTATTTATAGAGATCAAAAGATCTCAAAAAATTAATATGCAGAAGGAGCGAATTTTTGATTGGATATCCGAAATTAAAATTAATTTATTAGGATTATTATTACAACTCCAAAATTTTATTTCTATTTTTAATATGAAATTAGGTATCTTGGTTGGAGTGCCTACATACTCGCACTCCAACTCATCGTCTGTGTAACAAAATGGATAAATGAAATCAGCAAGTAGGCTGACGCAACACTTGGGGCGGAGGAAAAACATAAATTTACTCCGCGAGACAGAAAATTAAAATTTTAAGTAGGAAGACATCTTTTCACAGGAGGTTTAATCTGAGAGAAACGTAGCAGCAATGATACTTTGCCGCTTGCAATATCTCGTACCATATTAAAGTCGTTTAACCTCGTTTTTTCCGAGCCATGATTGTTTCGCCAGTCCGGGAAACTGTCAACAAGCTTCTGGGACGAGCCCATTACCGGTAAACTAGGAACTTACACAAATTTTCCGTCCAAGCGTTAGATGTTACATGTAATTTTTAAGTTTAATTCTATAATCTGAGAATTATGTTTATTTTAGATATGTAAATAAACACAGATTATACATACGTAGAGAGACTGCATCCTTGTCGACACGCGAACATGAAGAACTGAATCCTTATATCCAAACACATAAATAAACTATAAACTAATAAATCTAAATAATTTAAATCTTTTAATGAGTTTATTTTCTAGATTTTTTTAATCCTTCTTAAAATTATTGCAACAGATACATCTAGGTGCTCTGGCATTTTCTTGAGAGAATGCACAATACCTTAAAATAATAGGCGGCAACAAAATCAACAATCCTAACTTATCACGTACCTTATTTAAGTTAGCGTAATTCTAAATGTAGTTGAACAAAAAATCTAAAATCACGTACAGATAATAAAATAAATTTGGTAAATAGTTTATCTTGATTATTTGGATATCATGGGTAACTTTTGACATATTCTCATCATGACTCTATTGGGGCTACGCCAGTCGTCAGTCGGCGTCATCCTTTGTACTGAATGATGGGTATTGCCAAAACTTTCGCCAATACTGCCGTTTGGGCGATTTTTTCCCATCTGAGAGTTTTTCAATATTGCTCCTTCAATTTTTGCAAAAACGTTAATTTTTCCTGGCCCAAAATTTTTTGTGAGATTATCATCAGATTTTCCAGTACGTTGATTATCTGAATCTATTTTTTCGCATTATTTTTAACGTCGTGATGTTGTTTAAAAATTTCCGTCTACGTCTGAAAAATTTTGAAGAATGATTTCAATTTAATCACAGGGAACCTGGGAGATTAAGCTTAATCAAGTCCTTCTAGAAAAAAAGCACATGGAATCAAAAGAACTAGTAAGAATATCATAGGGGTGATATCATAGCCACAGTAGCCTCTACGAAAAAATTCGAAATCTAGTGTGTGCTTTCTAGATCATTTTAATTGAATATGTTGTTAAAATTTTCTGCCTTAATCAGTTTATATAGGTATTTTTTTAAAGTATGAACATGGTGCAATATGAGTTGTTTTTGTAGCTCTCTAATCCCATGTTTTATGTATCAATCAGCTACGTTTTGTAAGCTTTCAGATTATTAACTTTATAAGCTGTTATATTTTGCCATTCAGGTGCTATAACTAACTCCAGGTCATTCACTCTTGGTCAATATTTAGACTATTGTATTCCCTTTTACTTTGAATTTTTGTAATATTATATTCGTCTTTGGTCCGTACCAAATCTCTTGAACTTAGAAACAGCTTATATCTTTACATCCTTCTAAGCGTTGTGTGATGAATATTATCTGATATGAGCAATTTACATGAATTTAGATTTATAAATACTAGCTAGTTTTAAAAGGATTACATATTGTGACATGGATAATTGGAGTTATTATGTTTGTAAAATGTAGTGCTTGCTTAATGTAGAAAAATAAGAAGCAACATGTAAAAATTTTTTCCTTCACATAATTGAGATTTCGATTCGTCTGTTCTGGATAGATTTACCTATCTCTGTGCATGATGCCCTGAGTGTCTCTTCTTCACTTTGTTTGAAAGTGGCCATGCAGCGGACTTTAAGAGGCTTTACGAGAACTTTCTCATTTCAATGCCAAAGTTTTGTTTAGATACCGTAAGATACTCAGAACAATGTTATCTAGTTTGGAAGATCCATTCAAATCACCAGGAAACCACGAGCAACGTCCATCAAGAAATATCCTCCCAACCGGTAACTGCTGGTTTAATGGTCTTCTGAGCACCTTCTGGAGGTAATTCCGGAAAGAATCTTAAAACATTGATTCCATGTAGAGGTTTCTCACTCCATATCTGTACGTACTTGTGCAGAAGAGGTCTTGCTCGACAGTATTCTATCTTGGGAGTTCGATGAAAACAAGCGGATAGACTGATTGTACGTCACCCAATATTAGTAGTGCCATTCCATATTTACATCTCCCGCCTTGAGCCGATGGAACTAAAAGTGCATCCATCAGGAACATCAATTAGCATAGAAAGATCGTGAGATCACTAGATCCACTCTGGGTTGGATGCACACTCATATCCTTATTAAAATCATAGATTTCAAAAATAATAAAAAACATGAACGTTATCATATGAGATTGATTTTTTACTTCTCTTATAAGAAAATGAGGTCAATGGTTAGATATGGAATTTGATATCAGAATGATGTGTCCACATTAGCATGTCACAAAAGAATGTAGACTAGACCATGCGTGTACAAAGTCGTTCATTTTAGTATAGTATGGAAGAAATTTTATAAGTGAATTATCATTATCTGTATTTTTACTTCCATTCGTGATGACCTGATCCATGACAACTCATATGCGGAATATATGTTATTTCCCTTTTATAACAAAAAAGAGGGTGTGGTTGGAGCTTGAATTTAACTTGACTATCTAAAGATTCGTAGCCTACGTTCATCGGGAAAGACTACTAACAAATCAGAATAAAAGCGTGATGTTTTACATCAAATGATAATTAATTTTTAATTAATCAAGTAAACGTGCACTTGCATATCAATTTAAGCTCATTTTTTTATGCCTAACTGACTAGAACTCGAATAACCTGTCACTGATTTTCAATTCTGTTCCAATATTCCGGTGTTAGTCTCGAAGAATGAAGGGTATAGAGATAGAGCTCAAGGGTTACTAATAAACATGTAGTCATCCAACTTATCCGTCTTTCATTGTTTGCTAGCTTACTCGACAATTGTCCAAATCTGCACATTGCTGATAGGGAAGAATGACCCGCAAAATGCAGACACGAAATAGTCGTTTCTTGTGGAACCTGATGTCGTCGGACAAGAGTTACAACGTCCATCAACGTCACGATTCCCAAGTATCGAAGAAGAAGATGTAGGATCTTGTGTCTAAAGATCAAAAGAGAAGGAGTATTGTAGAATTGCACGTGCAGTGAAAATTCTGAGGCGTGCGAGGTACTACCACGACCGAGACGTTGTCTTCACTTGTTGGAGGCGATGAAAGTCTGATGCGAGGTTCCCGCTCCACCAGCAAACCGGAAGGTCCAGAACGAGTCACGGGTTCGAACTTTTGTGCATCAGACTTCTGTGCTCCTTCACATATCATCGTCAAATTCACACACGAGGGGGCAGATATGACTCTTCCTTTGCACGCAAATCAATGTCCATTGGAGCAGCGTAAAGTATTGAGGTCATTGGTTTCTTGTGACGGACAAGGTCTTTCCTTTGTCCTTTCTCTTTCAAGGTCTGGATTCATACCAAAGATGATGAGAAGACAGTCTCATTTTACTATAATTAGCCCATTGGGTACTGATAAGGTTAGAGTCTAACCGTTAGACGCAATATAATGTCAATGAATATTATGGGTATATTATAAATATCTCTGCATAAACCAAAACAATAGAGCATTGAACCGGCCGGTCTTCTCTCGATAACAATTTATATGTAGTTCGCTTCATGCTAACGAAAATGTATACACTACCTTATCTAATAAGGTATAATTTTC